ATCAAATAATACCTAAACAATTGAGAAGTAACAATTATGAATTTTATTATATTGTCTCTAACACTTAAAATATTGATAAAGGGATCTGTCAAGTGTCATCATAAATTAGTTATAAATCCAATATATGTAATTTTGAATTTTTGAAATCATAGACTTAACATGATGATATCCCTTTGTTAAGTTAAAGGAACATTCCTTGCCAGACTATCTCTCTCCTGATATGGTAGCTACAATCATATATATACTTTATATATTTAGCAAAACACGGGAAATTTTTTTCATATGGTCAATATTGATCATTTAAAAATGTAGTACTCATTCCCAGTAAGCTGCCATCTTTTCAGATTTCTTTCAGGAAGTGATGTCATCAACTCTCACCTGTTATAACCTTGTCTATTACAGTATAGGAAAGAAGTACAAAATCACTTCTAAACAAGAAGCCCTTATCTTCTGTGTAAAAATATTTTCAGAATTTGTCAACTTAGAACTAAAGAGATCATCAAAAGGATTTTAATCATAGACCAAACTGAAAAAATATTCAGCTGGTTTAGTAATTCTAATAGCTCCTTACCTAATGTTATATGCAAAGTTGAGAGTCGATGACATCACTTCCTGAGTGAAATTGAAAAAGATGGCAGCCTACTGAAATTGAGCACTACATTTTTAAGTGATCAATATTGACGATTTCAAAACATTTTTCTGTTTTTTGAAAAACTTGTAAAGTATGTATATGGTTATAGCTACCATATTAGGAGAGAGATGGTCTGGCAAGGAATACCCCTTTAATGAAGCCGAAGAAAAAATAAAAGATGTGAACTTTGCAAAGCTTCACATACTTTCCAAGGTCAGGTTAAGGCTTTTCTTAATGAAGTTCTCTAATAATTTATCATATTTTCACATTTTGTCATCATTTCTGTATAATTGATGATTTTGTCAATTAGACCCCTGCTGAAATCTCAAATTAATAAAAATCTGTTATGTTGTATGTTATTCAACAAATTTAGAAAAAGGGCAATGATGTAATTACAACTTATATAGAATAATCTAAATTGTAATAATAATCTAATGAGTTAATGATATTTTTACTTATTTACTATCTATTAAAAATAATTCTTCAAATACAAAAAATGTCCAATTTTGGGCCTAGTTTTTGGTTTTAGGGGCCCAAAAGGAAATTCTGCACAAGCTCAAAGTTTTTTTGGACTTATGGCCCCCTTGTAAGCATTTGGATTCATCAGTGATATATGTAAGACTAGCTGTTTGTCTGACTAATATGCTTTGCCTCGTTTTTTGCCTCATCAATCTGAAAATTTTGCCTCATGCACCTAGCTACGCCACTGTAGCATTACTGAATACTGTAGAAATGCCTATAACAAGCTGAATCTAATAAAAATACACTTCAAGGACAATTAATGTGAAGATGCTTATAACACCATCAGATTAATAGTTCATAATACACACTTGTTATTGGATATAGGTTCTGGTATGCCTACATCAAAGTAACAAATTAGGCTTATATGCAATCTCCTACCAGTGGATGATTTTGAACACAGAGGATTCATAATAGAAGACCATTAAATGTACATTTAGCGATATAATTTAACCCGACTGGTCACATTGACCTATTGTATATACTAATAAGACTAATATATCCATCCATATGACACCTACATAGGCCAGTTGTAAGTGAAACACAGGAGCATAGTACAATGAAATCAATGTGCTCAGGGACAGAAAACTAACAGGACGGAATATATACAAGACAGATATACATGGGGCCCAATAACACTGGTTTATACTCATTGATGAGCTCAGGACGGAATATATACAAGACAGATATACATGGGGCCCAATAACACTGGTTTTTACTCATTGATGAGCTCAGGACAGAATATATACAAGACAGATATACATGGGGCCCAATAACACTGGTTTATACTCATTGATGAGCTCAGGACAGAATATATATCAGACATATAGACATGGGGGCCAATTACAATTTCAGCAATTAGGATACATACTAATGATGTTTAAAATGCTAGAGGCTTTGATAATTTAGAAAACAGTGAAGATGAATTAAATATAGTGTTAAAAGCATCATGGACTGCAGCAGAAACATTCTGTATCAGCATTTACATTATGCGCACAATGAGATGAAATTCTAAGTTAGAATAATAGCTAAAAATATATTAGCAATTGCGACTTTTGATCAAGATTCATCATGAGGACATTTTACAAATCACCTGTTGAGAAAATTACATCGCCAGCAGTAAGGTAAAATAGTAAAGTAGTAAATCAGTTTATAATCAGTTTTATTTTTTTATTTTAGTATAGTGCTAAAGCTTCATAAAAAAATAAGGGGTGGTAACAGTTTGAGATTTCTGCTTTATATTGGTGTTCTTTACAGTTGACTTCTAGATCAATAAGTAATTTATGTTATAAGACAGTGTGGAATGACTCATCTTTGTGAATATGTATGTATCTTGTACATCTAGGCCTGTAATATCAATCAGATGTATTGACTAGATAGATGCAATGTTGTCTAATCCATGATCTTTATCAGTGCCTGATTGATTGTCGTAGGGCATAATTGGAGAGTTATTGGCAATTCATTTTATCCCAGGAGTATTATGTTGGGTTTGCCATTATTTAGAGTAATGCCTAGCTCACATAAGCTCCAATTCATCCGCCAGTGCCCGAACGATTCAGTATTTTGTTCAGCCTTGCATTCATTTTTGAACAAAATACTCAATCGTATGGGGACTGGCAGATGAACCGGAGCTTATTTGAGCTAGCCATAAACATTGATTGTTAAATGGGAGGAAATCAAGTTTCAATTTTGTATGAATAAGAATTCAACAAGTATTTTACAGAAATGTAATACAATCTGAGACAGTTTGTTCAAATACTAAATAGAAACTACAGAATGACTAATGAAGGAGGAGAATTATTATCCCATCGAACTTTGTTCGAAAGGATATAGAGAAGCTGTCCATTCATTCATTTGTCTGGGCAAACTCAAATTTCAAAAAACCTGCCATTTTTCATAAAAATGTCATTTTTGATAACTTATATATTTATCGAACAAAAGAATATTGTAAACAGAAATATAGTCAACTGTCCAATAGAAAAATGAGAACCAGCAAGTAAAAAGAGGGGGAATAAGAAGGTGTATTTTTAGACAATAATGTATTCCTTCACAGGCCCATAGCCAGGGAGGGTTCGCAGGGTTCAGGCGCAACCCCCCTGGCCAAAAAGCATTTCAAAATTATGCAGTTTTCACCATTTTGAGCAATTCTCGAGTGACTTTAGCCATATGTGGGCCAAAATTGTAAAATGTGAACCCCCCCTGAAAATTTTTGAAAACTGAACCCACCCCCCTTGGCAAATCCTGGCTACAGGCCTGCTCCGATTCACTAATTTAATTGGAGAATGCACTGGCTAAGAACAAATGAATTTGATTTGCTCTTTTCAAATGATTCAAACTAATTCCACTTCTTGTGATGTCAGGAGGAAGCATGTCACCCTATGTAGACAGAGCCTGTGGGAAATATTGGGTGCGGAGCAAATGAGCGGAGGGTGCGGAGCTAACGGTTATTTTTGAATTTAAATTTGGGATATTTCTGAAACTAAGCCGTTTTGGGACTTCAAATATACCAAGATATGTGTATTTGACACCAAATATCAATACAATTGTGAAAATAGTAGCGCAATTCATTCTATAGCGACGCAGTGTGCCTTAAACCTTTCCCAGACCTATAATTATACCTGATTAAGATAAATATATTCCAAATTCAAGATGTCATCCATCTGTACGTACATACATATATACATTCTTCTGTCCGGCACATTTGACCAACATTTACCGTTGTCATTCATACAGTACCTGTTGTCCTGTGTGATACGTTCATCGGTAAAATTAAAGGTTTTTAAGGAAGAACATATTTAACTAAAGGATGAGTAGAAAGACACTTTGATTGAGTGTTCTACCAAAGGAATTTAATCTAGGTGCTCTATTAAACATGCAGTTTATGAAATCGAATAACTTGTGGCTGCCATTTTTGACAACGGCATCTGAATTTACCATTGTCAGGATGTTCCGGTGTGAGTATATCATGCTTGAGATTTGATTCATTATAATTGCAATGTGGTTCATAATAAAGAAAAAGAAAAACAAGTTAATAGTTGAGATGTGGTTTATGAAGATTGAGAGTTGTCATTGATGATTGGTTTTAGGATGTTGTTACTGTGCATATGTAAACTGTGTAAACCTATACTTCAACTATTCAATAATTGTTTCAAATCAATTTGCAGGTTGCACAGATTAGTAGCAAGCTGTTACAGGAATTTTTCAAGTTGTTTTTCATCTGCATAAGCTGTGCAATATGATTTGACATGTAAGATGAAATAACATGCTACAGCTAAATGTTTAAAGGTTAAATTGAATACTAATTTCTTAATTGAAATGCAAATATTTTTATTCTCAATATGAAATGCTTCCAATTTGTTCATTTGTTTTTATGAATGAAAAGATAAGTTGTTTTTTAATAATTGAAACCTATACTGTCCATAATGTGTATGTGATGCATTTCACAGAGTAAGTTAATAGGAGAACATGAATATGGAAGAAATCATTAAACCTATGCAAAACATTATATGGTCTTGAATGATGCATCAAATGTAAGTTCTATTTCTATTTTCGCTTATAACCTGAATTTATCATACTGATGCTGCTACTTATGCAGGTTGGTTCGTTATGAAAATTGTTGGCTTTAATCAAAAAGTGATGGGAAATTATATTTGGACTGTAGTCTGTCGTTTTTGTATCATGAAGTGTAATTTAAAATTGTCAAAAATAATTGGTACATGCACATGGACCCAGAACAATGCAAATAAAAATCATTCATTACAGAGTGCTATTTCAATTATTTGATTTAAATGAAATGTCAGATGTCAAATATATTGATTGTAGTTGTTGCTAAACAATGACATAGTGGGCATATCAGTACTCTTATCTCTGTTAGAATTACTGCTATCAATACCAGACAATTTCACATGGATGAAAACTGAGAGTTTGAATTCTCATGAGTTTGCAGGATAATGAAATTTTGGAATGATCTATAGTTTTTTGTATAACAGACTGCCTTTTGGATAAAACATGGTGGATTGACATTATATTTTATTGTCTGTGAAGTGTTTTGCCTAAGTACTTATATGAAAAAGAGACACTGAAATCTTATTTTCACAAAGGAAACAAAACTTTCATAAAATGTCAATTGAGCTTGAGGAGGAAGATTGTATAATGGAGCTAGATTCTAGTAGTAGTAGACTAACTGACAGTCCCAGGAGGTAAGGTCCCTATATTTGAGTCAATGTTAGTCTAACTAGTGGAGTCAATGTTAGTCTAACTAGTGGAGTAGGCTGACTATTTTCCTATGTTTATGCAGACATGATAGTCAATGTCATAGATTGAGCTATCAGCTTGGGGGGTTGATCAGTTCAAATCAGGGGAATAATGCTCATGGTTATTTAGGGCAAGGCCACACTTGTAGAGTAAGAAAATATGTGATAGCATTGTCATAGGTGTACGTTTTTGGGTGTTATTACCCCTTTTTGGCTCACATGGTGTGAGTTATTGTTATATTGTCTGTATGTCCATCTGTTACGTTTCGTAACTGTTATCTCGGGATCTTGTGGTCCTTCGGTACTCGCAGGGTTCCTGACTACCTAATTGAACACGACTCCTTTGTTTTGTTTCTTAATTTATTTCAAATTCCAATTCTTCTTGAGATTGATCCGGCCAGCAGAGTTTCGGTAGATTCGCTTGTTATTGTTTCTCCTTTCATCAATTGTTGAGCATCGTTGTGAGTGAGTAAAACTTACTGAATCAACAGATCTTGCCGACTTCTTTATATACCAGGTAAAATACATTATTTTACCTGTCAAAATTGTGCAAATATAAGTAAGAATATTGCTGATTTCATGCTTATGTAAGCAAGATTCAAATCATAATTCTGAGTTGTGATTGGTTGTTGGAAGTTTTAACTTGTCAGAATTCATTGATATATCTTCGTTTTGGCTGAATATAGTAGCGTAGGGATTCCCCTGTACTAAAGCTAACTGAGGTCTAAATAGTCATTAATCATAAGAAAGCAGCAAGATCTTTACAATGTTTGAATATGCTGAATATAAATGGTATTTTATATTGGATAATAAATAATAAATAAATAATAAAGTAATTATATATAATTAAATATAATTACGTACTGACCGAATCATAACAATCTCCCCTTCTTTAGAAATTAACCATACCTGGTTAATTTACTTTACAATATAAATTATTTATTTATTTATTTTATTTTTATTTTATATTTTTAAGATGATATACCACATTCCGGCCGCGCAACAACCCTGTGGGTTGACGTGGTTCCTGGTTCCAATGAATGTGGTGAAAGACCAGGATTACTTTCATGCTCCAGAGTTCATAGTTTAATCAACTGTTAAGCTTTATTCATAGTCTCCGTCTTCATATCACTATTAGTGTTTATGAATTGTTGTAGCAGTATGGATATGCATATGTAAATGTCTCTATCCATTCTCTTCTCTTCATAGCATTTGCTAGGTTCACCTTCAGCGTCCATATTCATTATCGATATCACTGATCATAATCCGCATTCAGCGTTCATATGTTGTGTGATCCATTGATAGATGGCACCTGGTGATTCTTTAGTTCATCTTTGTAGGAGCTACTCGTCTCTGAAGTCATCTTCTTCTTTTGTTATTTTATTAGTGATTAATATATTATCATGTTATAATGGTTAAATAAGGTGAGCAAATATGATTACTATGTGAGTAATATGTATGAATACATGCAATGATGATACTTGACTAAACTTATCTAACTTATCTCTATACCTAACATCTTATATTCAATTTGACTTCGCCATCTATATGACTTCTTCTTAAAATCTGCCAAACTGTACCTTCCAATAAGGCACTTTCACATGGCAATTAATCGCACTACATGCAGTTAAAACATCTTCCAATAAGATGTTGTTATACTATATGATAAATATGTGATTAATAAATTAGTGTTAGCATTATTTACAACTCACTTCAGTCAAAGGCACTGAGGTAATATCGGTTAATAAATTATTCGATCAATTAATTATGTACACCAGGATTATATGTTATGATGATACACACGTTATATTTCATGGTAGTTATCCATGCGCACACACTAAGTGCATTTAGTGCATTTATTACTCATGCACTAAATTATTAAAACATGCTTTGAATATATATAGTTGGTTATATGTGATTATATGTATTAGATCAATTAATTATTTACATCTGGTTCAATTGATCAAAAGGGGATTCTTGAGATGATAGCGTATGAAGTTTGTGAGCCTCTTCTGCGCTCCGGACCGTTTCATTGCCAGAAAGAGGTCTCTAGTAGAGGCCAATCTCAGACAACTATTAATTCTCAGGTCCTCTAGAAACTGCAGGCTCAAAGGTTAAAAGCATTAGTGTGAAATATGATATATATATACACATGCATATATTTAGCAATTTAAGTGAATTCCCCTTTAATTCATGCTTTTCTCATAAAATACATTATCATGCAATGAAATCGTTTCAGTAGTTCAAGTTCAAATGGGCAAAATGCATCTTATCATGCTGTTTTATTAACCTAACCTGGACATTTATGTTCCTCCCCTAAATAAGTGATTTCTGCTAAACAGCTGGAACAACAGGAGGGATCATCTTTCCATTTTTGTATACACTCTACACAACCTAATAGTTCATCTGATGTTAGAATATATTTACACTTGAGGCAAACATGGTGACCACAAGGGAGACTATGGATATTCATGACTGGATATATACAGTGACATTTGTAACATAATGAGGTCATGTTTATTAATTTGTCTAGCTGTTTGGAGTATACCTTCTTGCTCAGCGACCAGGAAGGTAAGGTGTTTAACTGGGATTTCACGAATTTACAAAACTCCATAATTTGGGGTAGTCGAATTTTGATTTATTTATTTTATATTTTGTTTCGTTTTGTCTATTCTCTGCCGGGGTCCAAATTTTTCAGGTTACCTAATTTATAGTGTTTATCTGAAAACTGTCATATTCTTTTCTTTTTTTCAGTTTCTTTTTCTTTTCCTCTGGAAAAGCCTGTCCTTTACTTAAAGAGCGTTTTGCTCACTGATTCTATAGTGACGTTTTTCATCTCTACATGTTCCGTTATTTGCGGGGAGGAGTCAGGTTGTTGTTCTCTCTCGACCTCTACAACGGGAGGGGGAGACTGCGTCGGCTCCGTCTGGGTAGCCTGGTCTCTGGAGGGCCCCAGACGCTTCCACAGTTGCCTCTCCGCCACTGAAATTTCAAAACCATTTCCACATTAGGACCTTGCTAAAGGTATTAGGACAAACACGTTATTCTCTAGTTCGTAGTAAAATCTAATAATATAGGGTTCGGATAGAACATCGCAAATGGACCTTCCATAACCATAAGGCAGGGGAACTTGTGGTGGCAAATTCAAATTCATTTCCTCATTGTCCAATATAAATTTAATTTCTCCCCATTCAATGGATAAATTATTTTGAAACAGTCCCTTTTGAACTTGAATACTATTTATAACTCCTCGCTGAGTCAACTGACACCTTTCATACCCATATTGTAACTTGGTTATTGGTATCGTCATCCGTTGACTCAATGAAGATAATTCTAATATCAATCTAGATTTCCTATGTACACTTCGCTTTCCGCACACGGCACGCCATGCTTTCAACGTGAACTTAATCGTCATCACTAGTACATAAAATGTCATTATGGTCAATATAATGATTGACCAAGTTTGGGTGACATTTGAATATTTCATATTTTCTGAAGTGTGACTCGTAGTAGTATCTCGCATGGACTTTACAACGAATTGGCGACCTTCCACTTTCATTACACTCTTTATCGACAGAATAGTGGTCAATATAAACTTTATTTTTGTTAGCACATATATATTAGATATGATCGCGATCACAGCCAGAGCAAAAGAAACATAAATTATCACATCGGTTATATTTATTCCGAAAACGTCCCAATCACCCATCTCAAAACTCAATTGATCCGCCTCTGAAAAATGTAGAGGTCCTTTCGACCTTACAGCATCCGCAAGACGTTTAACATCTGTTTTTATTATTCCCTCGGATTTGATAGCGTTTTGCCATCTAGCTGATGTCATAGTGACCGGTAGTTTCTCATGGTTTATCACAGGCTCCACCGAGTCTAATTCGGAGCCGGTCATGTTGACCGTTAATTCTTCATTTATAAAATGATGTATGAATGGTATGTTAATAGGATAATTGTACTCGATTTCCATTGAGTCCACAACGCAACCTATTCGCTCAGGTATATAATTATCATTGATCATCAAGGAACAATCACAATTTAGATTTATTTTACAGTACCTACAAGTAGGTATATGTTTTGAGGGATTACGCTTACAACGCATAACCCAATTGTCTTTTGCCTCAGCATTTATTAAGAATTGATTGTTAGATATTTTCATAATTTTTGTGCGAACTTCTGACTCTTCTTGATAATGAAAATTGCATAATTTTAGAATATTTTGAACATCGTCCATATATAGAGCTAGTAAACACGATTTCTTTTGGATAGGCCTCAAATTAGAATACGCATTTTGAGATTGAGAATCATACTTTTCGTTAATTTCGTATTCATCTCTGGTTAGTTCGAAATAAAAGGAACTTTCTTCATTTAGACCAATATATCTTTGAGGATTATTTAGTATGATTGATTGATTGTCCCGCTGTTGTTCGAGATTCAAATCACGCGGTATAGGCACTGAGTGAGTTTCCGCATAATATAGAGAATATTTATATCCCGTAGTAGAAATAGGTATTTCAATCATTACATATAAGTGGCTTTTTGTGCGTGAGTAAGATACAATTGGCTTTTCAAAGAAATACCGAAGTGCAGATTCAGTTATTTCAAAATTTGGAAATTGTAATGACAATTTATTTTTAACCTTATCCAGTGCTTTCTTTAGATCATTAGCCGAAATGAGATCCGGCGATAAACGTCCAGTGTTAGCCATTTTAATCGCCAGCACGTGTCTATGATACCATGTTTCCGCAAATTTCAAATTATATATTACTTGACTTAGGTATTTAAAGTACGCTGTCATCAATCCCGTAGTTTTATCAATACTGACTTTTAGTCTTCGAATATTCATCTCATCAAGTTGTAGCCTTATATCCGTATTATTTATGTAATTCAACAATTGATTAATGGATTCGTGATTCTGATTAATCATAGAAAACATA